GAGCTTGGGATATCTGAGGAACAGAATGTGGACAGTATTTGGAACCTGAAGAAGAGAAGAGAAAGAAAGATAGAGAAGCAGCAGCCAGCTCACAGAGGCTCAAGGAGGCCATGGTAAGGGGTTAGGATTTATTCTAGTTGCTACGAGAGGCTGTTGGCAGGTTTTAAGTGTGCCTTGTAGAAGGTGGGGCAAAAGTAGGCTTGGGTTGTTCTTATGGAAAATAATGAATAAATAATGATACAAGAATAAACTGTGTTTCACATACTCACAACTGTAAACCTACTTTTGCCACACCCAAGCAGGGAAGACCAAACAGTGCCTATTCAAAAATCACAGATTTTTATTTTTAATTTTTAAAGCGATTACACTTCATCTTCATCCCTCTGCAGGATCTAAGAAAGAAGCTTGGGCCTGTAGAGGGCGCCAAAGGAAAACGTTTTGTGGCCAAAGCCACAAAGGCTCTTTCAGCACCTAAAGGGAAGGATAGCGCTCAGATTGTTAGGTGAAAGGTGACTCAACTTAGAAATTGTAGTTCATCCACAACTCCTCCTTAAACAGAAAGTTTGATGAACTTGGTTTGTATGTACCAGGACCTTGGCTTTCACAGTGTAGGATTGTTTATGATGAGGTGGGTGTGGGAAGACATGTTGGGGTTATTTTTAATCTCCTGCCATCTGGTAGTATTTGAGTAGAATATAAAACAAATATGGAGCCAAAATTTACTTTCTGGATTCATTTGGCATGAAAAGTGTCTCTATACTTAGAACTTAGAAAATATTCATCTTTTGCCACTTAGGATGTGTTTTTCCAAATACTATTCCAAGCCGACTGGATGAAATCTTTTGGTAACGCGTCCCGAGGAAGGCTAGTGTATGAAAAAGCAGTAGCTTATAATGGAATTTTCTGCACGTGACCAAATAGCTATGCTGTATTGTGAGAACAACCTATAGAGAAAAAAAGAGATGGGGAAAGAAAGACGAGAGGACAAAAGGAGAGGATGGGAAGGGGGAAAGGGAGGAGAGGGAACAGAGATCTGATGGTTAGGTATGGTAACAAAAATGCAAAAACAATAATGAGAAAACTTGGAAGAACATGAGAGATTCAATTCAGATCCATGTACAAACAGGATTGAGAAACACAGTTAAAATATAATGTTATACAATCCAAAATTGAATCTTTATCACAAGGAGGTATTAAGGTTCCTGGTCATTTTGATACAACTTTCATTATTGTCTTTAATTAGAAAAGTTCAGCCAGTCATCCCCTACTAACCGAGGCTCTCATGGCCCCATCTCATGCCTGAGGACCATGGCCACACACTTTATATACTCGTTGCTCTACACAGGGACCCTTCAGGAAGCACTATAAACACTGCCAACCAGATGACTAGCCTGAGCAATGCAGACAGAGCCATCGGAGAAGGGAGAGAATCCTAAACTGCCAGAAGCCCAGAAGGTCAACCATGGGTCAACTACTCACACGGTGCCAGCGCTCTACAAATCATGAGCAATTTTCAGAGGTGTTGTACCAGCTTATCTTATGAACCATCTGTTCAAAGCTGGCACACGGAGGAGGAGTTTTTAAGCTTCAGGTACAGCAGAAGTGGCACAGAGCCCGAGGCTAGAGCAGGGACTCACCGAGCGGCCAGCACCTGTCACCAGCCTTCTATGGGAAAACACTTCCCCTGATGTGTTCCCCTCATCTTTATCCAGAAGCCCCCAAACCCAGTCTCCTGTTACCACCAGACATTTGGCAAAGAAAGTGCCAGACCATAAATTATCTATTGATTCTAATGAGCTGAAACAATAGAGGCACTGTCTACCTTCTCATTCACAGACAATGGGAACTTTGTTCACCTAAACACATCCATATTTAATAGGGAAACAGCGGAATAAAGCGGGAGAAAGGGACCTGAAGGGTCAGGTTCCATCTAAATATTTCAAACTGTCTGCATTAATATGCTCCTTTTCAATTAAGCAAAACTTGCTTTCTTGGTCAATGACACCCACCTTGGCCCCAATTCTCAAGGTTGACTGATTGAGTATTGGGGTGGCTTCTGCAAAGAAGACATCATCAGTAGGCCCCCAAAGCAATCAAGAATTCTCAGATAAATGTGTGTCATAGGATTGTCTGCAGTATGGGGTGAGATGACAGAAGTCGGGTTCCAGCACCAGCAATTAGTATGTGCTTAGCAAACGTTGATTCCTCCGAGCATTGAGGATGTGCGGCCCGAAGATACACAGCAGCCCAGCTCTGAATCACAGAGTCCCTTAGCACTCCCTGCCGGGACTCTCAGAGCCAAGCTGGTAGGAAATGGGTCACCTTCTCAACTGGGTGCTTCTCCTCCCCCCTGCCTCCTGCTCCAGAGACTACTGACCCCGGGGAGGTGTGCGGAGTAGGAAGACGCTGGCTTCCTGGCTGATGTCAGGGATG